TTATTTAATGTATATGGACTGAGATATGTACCGCACAGGCGTTTATGTCAAAGTGTAACCATTCATAACTACGCGGCCTTCTTCTCATTAAAAGATGTGAGAAAATATTTATTACTAATTAATTTAATTATATTTTAATAATATCTCTTTTATTCATTGAAATCATATTCTATTTTATAAGAAAATTGTTTAAATTATAAATTATCAAAATAATGAAAAAAAGAGTTTAATACTTGTCAATGGTAAGTCATCAAGGAATATTAGCAGTAATCCTAAATATATTAATAGTATTAAATATATTAAATATATTAATAGTAATATATATTTAGTAGTAATCCTAAATATACAGTAATCCTAATTATATGAATTGATTCAAAGCTATCATTCTTCGAGTTTGCCCCCGAAGAGCGCGAAAGCTTTATACATAAATCATTAGTGTTGGCCGCGTTTGGACACCCGGTTGAGGATGAGGTGCTGAGAGTGGATGCGTTTGAGAGGACTGGTATCCCGTCTTTCAAAGTAAATCTTTCCAAACAAAAGGCTGCTCTCAAGAGCTTATTCTCTAAGAAAGAACTCAAATCTCTTATTAAAAGAAAAGATGGTTTAGATTTTGTAAACGGATATAATTATAACAATTCAATTGAAATGTTTAAAGTGTTGCTCCAAAATGTGACACTTATTTCAGAGGTCAGTCTCATCTGACTTTAAATTAGAATTTTTAGTTTAATATATTTCTATTTGTTTAGTGTTTGGACGTTCACATTAAACTTTCTACCAAATCGTCGATTCACAACTTAATGTTATTAACAATTCTCTCCAAAGGAAATATTGGTATCTATTTAAACGATCATAAATTTAAATAAAATGTTTAAATGATTAATATATTTCTTTTGTTGTATTTTCACACAAGACGTGAAAACAAATAGCAATTTATTGACTGATTTCGCGAATGTATTGTCGATGACCGGCAATAATATAGTGAGCGCCGACGTGCCGGCGGCCATGAGATCTCTCGCCAAATCCATTAAAGAGCCACAAGTTTTCAAACAAATGACTCCCGAAGAGGCTCTTCAATGGCTTGAGAATAATACTGAAGAGTCGGGACAACTGTACAAAGAGTTTATTAAAAACTTTGGCTTTAGAGGGTATAAGGAGTGGGACATTATGTCGATCACTTGGTCCGGCAATAAGCAGATGTTAGTGACAACCCTTCAGATGATGGTTCCGTTGAAAGAGAATTCAAATCAAGTGATTCTAACAAAAGATGAACTCATTTCTCGAATCAAGACTCCGATCACAAGAAATCAAAAATATTTGCTCAAGAATTGGATACTCCCGGCCTGTCAGAGGTCGGTGGCCGACAGGGAGGAGTCAAAGCTGTTTGATATCAAATGTGTGGATAAATTCAGACAATTGTTGAATAAAATGGGAGAAATGATGAGCTATAGGGAGGGGCGACTCCCAGAACCAGATCTGGTATTCTTCTTGACTTTACACGAGTTGAATGTTTTGACTCAAACCCGAGACCCGAAGATTGTTATGAAAGCAAAACAGAGGAAAAAGATTTATCCGAAACTCGATAAATATATTTACGACGAGATGTCTATCGGCCCTAACATTAAACCCAGAAATGTATTTAATTATCACTAAACAAAGAATTGAGATTATTATTGAAATAATTTTGTTCATAGTTTGTCGACAAGAAACTTGAGGCCGAGAAGTACCTGAACGGCGAGAATGACATATTGAAAGGAACTCCTGTCTGCACCGGTAGTATCAAAGCCAAAGCATGTGTTTGCAAATGTTTCGAAGACGCTAAGAATTTAGAGGTTAGTCTCTATTCACGATAATTAATGAAATTGATAACTAAATGAGTATTTATTAATTTTATGACAAAGTCCGGGGACATTTTAATAACTTATAGTACGGACATCGGTTGGAGTCCATACCTACCAATGATCGGTGGGATTATAACAGAAATCGGTGGACTTGTATCACACGGAGCAGTGATTGCCCGGGAATACGGTATACCCTGTTTGGTGGGCGTAGAGAATGCCTGTCATTCCATAACTAATGGTCAGACTATTCTTCTGGACGCAGACAACGGATGTGTTGTCTTAATGACAGCTCAAGACAATTGACTTTTATATGAAATCTTATGAACACAATTTTAACTGCAATTTTACTCATTCATTGAAATAAAATATATTTTTATTACATTTTCATATTATTTTTTCTGATGCATTATTATTATGCAAATCTTTTCTATTGTAAATATCATTGAAAAGAATTTTATAAATTGAATTAAATAATTGAATTGTACAATGTACATTTCAAATGCAATGTTATACGAGTATTGTATACTGTAGATGGGAGCCCTTTATGTAAGTCATCAATCTGACAACTTTTTCATATACTGTATATTCATTGGTATTATTTAATTTAGTCATAAGAATAATAAAATGTTATGAAAAACATAAAGTCTTAAGAATTACAAACAAACCTTGAAATTGAGTTATAAATACGTTTCAAAGGTTTACAAATCATAAAAGAAATGTCATATAAATAAATATAAGATTTAGTAATACATGAAATACAAGTAATC